AATAGCAAAGTAAATGAATTGGTGATAAACACATAATAACAGGACAACTCAGAAATAGCCCACAATGTTCTAATCAACAGCTTGTTTTTCCTCTGCATGACTGACTGCTCATGGTTATTTCATATTGGCTACATATAATGGAGTTGTAGTTTCCATCAGGGAAACTGACCCTAGTTCCCATGAAACCTAGCACAATGATATTTATGGAGTTCAGCAAACAGCCTCATAATTTCCGGGTGTGCATGCACCTGATGAAACATGAGGCTCTCAGGGTCCCTTTAGGGCCCTTTGCCCTGGAAATAGCTCCCTTAGTAGAGACCTATTTTACCCAGGCCTCCAAGAAGAATTATGTCTACTCTTCTCAATACTACAGTACACACATTAAAATTCCCTCCATGCATAAGACAAGTGGGATTTCAAAAAGTAGTTGGCACAAGACAGCCATAAAAATAACAGACCCAGTGTATCTGACCCCAACACCCATGTTCATTTCACATTAATCATTTGATAACCTATTCTGTGCTAAACAGTGACCAGGTTCTAAAGATAGAGATTGAAAAACACCAGCAACTACCACCTGTGGTCTGTTTCTTTAAGGAACAAGTGACAAAATGCAGGAGATCAACCCAGCCCTTTCCCTTTGTCAGATTTTTCAGCGTCCCTGGTGTAAACATGCTTGAAAATATGAGACGGAGGCAGTTTTCCTCTGAGCTGCACCAAAAGGTCCCATTAGACAAAGAGGTGTGTCCCAGATGAATTTTGCTAAGTATGCCTCCCAGTACCTCTCATGGGCATAAATATTTCAGGAATGCCTTGAATTCTCAATTGCCCCATACCTGGAAACATTGCTTGCCAATTGACTTGTATGCAGTTTTGGAACCAGCACCAGGGAGCCTTTTTATTAAAGAAAGCCTACAGGAGCCACTTTGCAAGCAAATGGGTGGCCCCTTTGGTTCCCAGAGGGTTTTCTCAAGGTGGGACTCACCGGCTGGGCAAGCTGGCTTCTCTGGGGCTCAGCATGCGGAAGGGGCTGCTGCTGCCTATAGCCTACTGTGACCCCCATGCAACCGTAGGAAGCCTGGGTATTTAGCACAGGAGAAACCTAAGATAGTTTTCTCAGAGTCCACGACACCTAAAAGACAATGAAGTTCAGTTTGGAGTAAGGGGACACCAATGCCAGAGAGCCCAGCAGCTGGGGAGGGGTAGGGGCCACCTTCATGGCATATCCATTCAGATATAGGTCAAGAATTCAGCCTGTCCATCTTTATTAAGTGAACAACAACAACAACAAAATTTAACCAGGATTCAAACTCGCTCTTAAGGATTCGATTCTCTTTCTGGGGAGATGCCATAAGGCTGCATTTTAAACAGATCGCCAAGTAATTCAAAAGCAGGAGATCTGAGACAATTTGAGACACTCTGGGCCCCAGAGAGAAGATCTAGTTTGTGTTGAGTGTTTAAAGCTGTGGTGTGAACCCCAGCTGCGCATTGGCACTGCGCCAGGGGGCTTTATAACTAGGACCAGAAGCAGTGACATCACCTGGCAGCTTGGGAGGCACGCAGAACCTCAGACCCTACCCCATCCCAACTGCATGGGAATCTTCACTTTAACACGATCCCCAGAAGATTCCCTGCATTAGCTCTAAACCTAACTGCAAACTGCCTCACCTGAATTCCTGAGCCCCAACTCAGGCCAATTCAGAATCAAAGCAAGAGAGGCCAAGAGAAGAGTGTTTTTTAAAGTTCCCCCAGGTGATTCTGGTGCTCACAGAGGGCTGAGAACCACAGCAGAGCAATTAAGAACATAGGCTTTGAAGTCAGACAAATAGAATTAGAGACAGGTCCTGGTTTCTCCCATTTACTTGCTGTGTGACACTGGACAGTCACTTAACCTCTCTGAGCCTTAGTTGCCTCATCTATAAATGGGAACACTATCCTCCTTATAGAAAGATATGTTTTATATAAGGACATGATCCATAATATGTGTAATGTATGGATCTGGCCCATAATAAATGTTTCATAAATAATAGCTACTTTTAAGTATATTGCCTAAAAGATACCTTGATTTTACTTTGCTCTAATACCAGCTCTTGCAAAGATGTCATATTTTGTAAGGGGTAGGGAGTGCTTCTGGCCTCCTCAGTTCTTTCTCTCCTCCTGGTGCTGCCTATTTCTCCTCACCTAAGACATTTTTATCCTTCCCATCAGGACTTTGCTCTACTAAGCTTAACTAATCCCTAGTAAAGCAAAAAAAATTCTATCCAAGTATCTTTGACATTGAGTAACTATTGAACAGTCAAAGAAATTAATGCATAAAGTGGAATTTCAGCTCCTATAAGTCACAGTAGCACTTGCATTTGGGGCGGCCAGAAGGCACTTCTCAGTACCACAGTACCACTGCTACCACACCCTAATCATTTCCTGTTCAGCCCCCATCTGCATCACTTCCTTATCCCTTCTGGGCCAGCGTAAGGGAGGAGGTGGGTAAAAGAAATGGGGACTTCAGAGAGTAGACCAAAGAATGACACTGCTGACATTCACCCCAAAGATGTTAGAAAATGGGACAAAATGACACTCACTCCATAAACAAACACCTTTCGATCACCTCTGCACACGCTGGTCATAGCGGTTACCAACACAACCATGGTTGCTGTGGTTACGACAGAACTCTAGGGTTTCTGTTACTCCAACGGCTCATCATTGTTACGATGCCCACCACCCACAGAGGTACAGCTTACTGTGGACACAGGTCTGTGTTAAGAACCAAGTGCAAAAAGACTTGGTTACCCCAACTCCTGAGTAAAATTTGGTGAGGATTGTAGCCCATCAATTCACTGCTGAGTTGGCCTTTCACGGGGAGGATCTTACTTTGGAATAGGCCACAGAAGGCTGACATGTCTCCAGATCGCTGCCTAATGCCTAAATTCCCATAAAGCCAACAAGGATGCCCATTTCACAGATAGAGACATGCTACATGCTCCCCTATCATAGTGTCCTCTGTGCTGTAGTGTCATTGGATTTATGAGTGCGCTGAGCATCAGTGCCCTCTCATAGTCATCTCTGTATCCCTAGTGCCTAGAAAGGCATGTGTCATGAAACGGGTAGGTGTCCAGGCAGTGTTTGTTGAATGACCGAGTGAACTTAAATCCAAATACCATGTGAGAAGATGCAGGACAAATTGGGTTCTCCTTGAAGTGTAACAGCAGACCCTTTATTGCAAGGAAGTAGGAGAAAAGGCAAGAGAGAGAGCCCAGCTGAACCTAAGAGAGTAGAGTCCCCCAGCCAAGAACAGGGGTGTGTGAAACATAATGCGGTAAAAGAAAACAGTGCTGATTTCCCACTGTTGGTGAGGGCTGCGTGTTTGGTGAATGAGGCATGGCAACATATAGAAGTAGTCATCAGAAATTTAGTTCTTTCTCCTACCTTTGCAAAAGCTTAGCTTTCACCCAGGGAAAACCACACTGTGACATCACATCTTCTCAAGTCCAATTTACTGACAAGTGATGTCTGGTGAAAACTAATATCAAGGGTGGCCTTGAACTTCCAACTTCAGACCCAAGGCCACAGGGATTACTGTTATATAAGATAGAAGTATGCCAGGGAAGGATGACTGTTGTTTCTGAGGGAAGTATTAGAGAAGGGGGAAGAGGCGGTGTACTGAGGGACGCCAAGCGCATTTCATAAGCCATTTTATGAAATGCATTCTAGTATGTTTCAGCCCAGCTACAAGTGCCTTCCCTCCCTCTCCACCCACTTCCTTGGCGTCCAAGATAATTTGCTCCAATTTATTGCTGCCTTTCATATATGGGGAGATGAAAGCTTTAATTGAAGTAACTAACCTGGTTGTTTTGCAGTCCGATATGAAATTGATAATGACCTCATGGAATTCAACATTTTAAAAAACAGCTTTAAAGCTAACAAGGAGGTAAAGCGAAAAGAGATCAGAAACGGATTTCTCAAGCTGCGCAGCATTCTACAGGAAAAAGAGAAATTGATCATGGAGCAGATAGAGAATCTCGAAGTGTCCAGGCAGAAGGAGATTGAAAAATATGTATACGTCACCACCACGAAAGTGAACGAAATGGATGGCCTGATAGCCTACTCCAAGGAAGCCCTGAAGGAGACGGGCCAGGTGGCGTTCTTGCAGTCTGCCAAGATCCTGGTGGAGCAGATCGAGGACGGCATCCAGACCACCTACCGGCCTGACCCACAGCTCCGGTTGCACTCCTCACACTGCATGCCCTTGGACTTCGTGGAACTCTCCAGTGCCATCCATGAGCTCTTCCCCACGGGACCCAAGAAGGTATGCTCCTCAGGGGACTCCCTGCCTGCCCCCTATCCCGTGCACCCAGAGATGATGGCAGCCAGGAAGGTCACTTTCAGCACCCACAGCTTCGGCAACCGTGAGTTATGCCAGCGAAGCTCCTCCATGTTTTCCTTCACTACCACCGGCAGCGAGAAGGCCAAGGTTGGTCTGGAGGCCTATGGGCGAGCCCAGTCGGCTGCACCCGCCAAACCCACAGATGGCCTCTACACCTACTGGAGCACAGGGGCAGAAAGCCAGCCTGTGCAGAACAGCAGCAGTTTCCACAACTGGTACTCATTCAATGGTAGCTCTGTGAAGACTCCAGGCCCAATTATTATCTATCAGACTCTGGTGTATCCCAGAGCTGCCAAGGTAAGAAAAGGCCCTGGGCCCCATGGGGAAGGTGGGAAGGTGTGGGGCGTGGAATGAGGTGGGTGGTCAGGAAAGGCTGCATTTACGGCTTTGACCTGAGGGTCCAGTCACTCAAATTTGCTCCTTTGCGCTTTGTGGTCAGCCCATTCAAAAGGGATAAGTTCTTATAATCTTAAGTAGCCTAAGACTGGCTTAAAGCAAAGAATGTATGTATTTAACTCATAGTCAGAAATACATCTGAAATTAACCCTACTTCAAAGGTAGTTTCTCGAAAAGAGAACCCAATTTGGGAACCAAAGTAATTTTAAGAGACTGCTTGGAAAGTGTAATATTATTCCCCAGAGGAAAACCTGTAATAGTCAAGAGAGTGCAGAAATTGGAATTAGACATGCAGGGTCCATTATCTATTGGCTATGATTCCTCTAAATTGCTACCTTTCCAAAAGAAAGTATCCAGATTCTTCATAATTTAGAAAGATTGCTAGGATAATCCCCAATAGAATTCCAATCCTTTTCTCCTGAGACTCCGCTTCTTTTAACATTCCTTTCAAATCCAACTGACCCTAAATTGAACTGTTAATAGAATACTTCATTGAAATTCAGAGAGAAAAAGGATTAACACAGAACTAAATATTCTATTAGAGCATATCTTGCCTCCTCTTGGGGTTCCCTAAAGGGGCATCTCCCAGGCCAGCCCATGACCTGCTTCCATGTGGCACAGCCCATCTTTTGTCCCCATAACCTGAGAACACTCCCAAAGATTTTTAGCATCCTTGAAGTCTAAACCAGTAGTGCTCAATTGTGCACCTGGGGATCTTGTTAAAATGCACGTTTTGTTTTAATGGGTCTCAGTGGGACCTGAGATTCTGTTTCTAACTAACTTCCAGGTCTTGCCACTGCTGTCTGTCTGCAGGACTCACTTCAGTATCAAGAGTCTTAAAACACGGAAATGAAAGCCAGACACTGACCAAGCTTTACTTTTCCATTCTCCTGAGACATAGTCTGTTTGGGGGTCTATGATGGATGCCAAGAATGACCTGATGTTGCCATATAGAACATGCCCTCCCATGGGCATCAGACACAGCAAAGTATCTCTGCCCTTCATGTTAGAGGCACCCACTACCGAGCAGCTGAACCTACATTTCCAAATGATACTAGATCAACAAAGCCTGCGGTGTATGTGACATTAGCTCAGGGGTGGCATTAGGTCTCATCTCCATGCAGCATAGACCTTATGGGAGGCTGGCAGGATCTTGCTCTAGAGGAGATGGACTGGGGATGTCAGCTCTTTACTTGGGCTTGGAGAACAGTCACACTATGCCACCTATTAGCGGTCCCTGGAAGCGCTTAAGGAAAGAGCTTACACAGGAAAACCTAGTCAAGTCATTGGCTGTCAAGAGAGGACACTTACTTCCAGACAGTGGTATTTGATGTGAAATAGCCTTGGTCCCTATTTTGGGATCATGGGACAGAATTCACACAGAAATCATAGTGCTCGGTAATGTAGAAGATGAAATCTGTGTTGGCATCTCCCTCAAATGTTGACTAACAGCCCCCTTTAGGCTTTTGGCATAAAAAATATTCTTAAAATTGGAATTATAACTTGTCTGTATATATCTTAATAATCCTAAAGAGTTTGTTTTTTTATAAAAACTTCAATTTTATTTCTAGAAATCCCTCCCAAAGACATGATGAAAAGTTCAGATAAAGATTCATGCCCAAAAGTGTTCATTGTACCATTATTTATTAAAGTATAATTAGAAACAAGCTACATGTTCAACTATAGAAGGATTAAATCATTTATGGGGCAGTTATTAAAATGGTACTTTACTGAATTTTTAATGATACAGGGAAATATACAATACATAATAAGTAAAAGAAAGCAGGAGTCAAAGCAATCTAATCCAAGTTATATGTGTTTATGTGTATTCCAAAATTGGAAAGAAATAATAATGAATTATTAACTGAATTGTGAGATTATAAGTGATGTTTATTATCTTTCCTTATACTACACATTTTCTGTATTTTCAAAGTATTTTACAATAAGTATGTTTCTTTTGAAAATCAGGAAAAAGGTTAATATTTATTAAGTTATATAAATAAAAAGTTTTAAAAGTAAATATATAAAAATTATGTTAATTACACAAATTCATAAAAATTTTAAAATTTATATACTAGTAAGGACTATAAATTAATTTTATAAACATAACATTTAAATTTATTAAAATTTAAATTAAGCATGCAATATCTATTTTAAAATACAATTATTATGCAATATTTATATACCAGGTACAATTTGCCAGCTGATACTTGTTCATATACCTCTTCCCAAGAGCTGATATTTTATGTTTTGAGTATGAACATATATCCTCCATTACTTGAATAAGTTATCTCATTTCTCTGGGACTCCATTTTCTTGTATATAAAATAGAGGGTTGGAATATATACACCTTTCATCTCCTAGGGTTCTGTGAGTGCATTGGAATTTGCTAAACGTAATTTTTCCGAGCCTCAACTGTAAACCGGAATAATAAAATCCCCCTTCCACGTGTGTTATAAGAGCTAACTGAGGTGGGCATGTCTGACACAGAGTCTGATGCATAAGAGGTGATTCATAAATGGTGGCTGGTGTTAGTGGTGACAGGAGGACGTTGGTCACCTCCAACACGACTGACAGTAACAGAACTCAGAGGACATTACAAGCATCGTGTCAGGCCTCATCGCACTGTCTTTCAAGACTGTCGCACAGGGTCTAATTCAAAGTCCTCGGCAGCTAGAGGGGATGGGTTCAGCTTACACTCACCCCACAGACAGTCGACCACCCAGATCTTTACAGGGAAGAGAACTGAAAGGTGTGTAGTAGGGCCACACCCGCTTGTTCATTTCTTCATAGGTTTACTGGACATGCCCAACAGAAGATGTGGACTCCTTTGAGATGGAATTCTATGAACTCATTACTTCCCCTCCTAACAACGTGCGGACAGAGCTCTGTGGACAAGTTCGCGACATAATGCAGCAGAGCCTGGAGCTGCACAACCTGACCCCCAACACCGAGTATCTGTTTAAAGTCAGAGCCATCAATGATAGTGGTCCTGGGCAATGGAGTGACATCTGCAAGGTACTGTACACGTTATTTCTCAGACAGATTTTGTGTTATAAGCTCTGGATGCAGGTCTGTTGGGATGATCTTGGGATCACAGAACCCACCCTGTGACTGCCCCCTCTCATTCCAGGAAATGTGTTAGCTCAGGGCCAAAGAGAAAAGCTGCTGGCCTCACTCAACTTTGCACATGAGAGCTGATAACTGTTCAGTTTGATTCAAAAAACATTTGTGCTGGGCATTGTTTTAGGATGCGAAGATTCGGAGGAAATAAGACATAATCCTTGTCTTCGAGGAGCTCAGCGTCTCATAAACAAATAATTGTGGTGTGAGAAGGACAAAAAAGTTGCATGTCAGCCCCAGTGGTGACTCAAAGCAAGGACAGGGTGTCAGATTTAACAAAAACAAATATAGGATGCCCAGTTAAATTTGAATTTCAGGTAAACGATGCAAATTTTTTAGTATAAGTATGTACATGTAATATTTGTGGTATACTTATGCTAAAAAAAATTAGTTGTTGCTTATCTGAAAGTCGAGGAAGAGCCACTGAGCAGGTCAGGACAGACTCCAAAAAAACGGGGACAAGACTATTCCTGTGTTCTTTGTGATGCAAGGCTGATTCATCCTTATATCCCCAATGGACATACATTCATGAGTATGATTTTATTGGTATTCAAAAAAGAAAGGGAAGGGAAATACCAAGACTGAGCAGAGCTATCTTACTGTACAATGATGGTATTCTTTGGAATCAGAGTAGATTGTGTCTTAATCAGGTATTCTTTAGAAGAAAAGAGAATAAGTCCATCCACTTAGCTTTTGAAAAGGGAAATTTATAGTACCAAGAGGGGAGTCTCATGAGACCACTTCCAGCCAGGACGTGCATCTGACACCCAAGAGAGAACTGGAATGTCATCAGTTTCTCTCAATCTCAATATTGATGTCAGTCTCAATCTCTCTCCCTCCCGCCCCTCTTTCTCCCTCTCTCCTTCCCATCTGAATCTGCACCATTTTCAGCTATCCCTTAGTTTCTCCTCCCCTTAATTCAGCTGACACATGGTTTTGGATTACCATGGCCCAACCTCTGTATGACCAACATAATCTGACTAGCAACCACTCCCTTTGTCTCTGGTCAAATGCTGGCAGGAGAGAAATCTGATTGGTTGCTATCTCTAGTGATAAAGGGAAGAGGAAGGTAGGTGGGGACAGGATTATGCTGTTGGTCAGTCTATCAGTCACAAGCCTCTTGGAGGTAGGGGCTCTCTACTCCATCCTGAGTGCCAGCTCTGGGAGTCATGTTCTGCTTCTGGAGCCTGGGACCCATGCACTCCCCCCTCCTCCCCCAGAGGTCAGACACATAGGAAGGAGGTGGGATGAGACTGTCAGCCTGGCTGCTCCTGCTACTGTATACCCTAGTCTGTCACCCTGTCAGTGGGTCACCCCAGAGCCCTTCTTGTTGATTCTCTTCTCTCCAGAGCCTGGAACACCCACAGCTGCTACCACGTTTTGCAGTATGTTCTTTGGACCATGGAATTTTCCTTTAGTCTAATTCCATCTGGCTTCTCATTTAAAAAAAAAATTCCTTAAACATGCCTTGCCCACAAAGAGTACTCAGTGCTGTTATTCATTATTTTTTCAGTGTATCTTCTGTCATTTTTAGATGCTAGGGACGGGGTGGGTGGGGGTGGGAGACTGAAGTATGTCAGCTTTCTTAAGTAGGTGTTTTGTCATCATCATCCCTCTTAAACTCTAACTCCGTGAGAACAAAACTCATGTCTAATTCTTCTTGCTTTCTCCCACGCTGCTTACCACAGCACTATGCACATAGCAGTTCTTAATGGTTATTGAATGAATACATGAGTGAAAATGTGACCAAACAAATGAATATATGAATGAAGGTCTAAATTAAAGAGTGAAGAAATAAATTGATAAGCAACATTAATAATTACAAAGTACCAGACGATGCCTGAAAGCTCTTAAGTGTTTTATACAAATCAGTCAAGAATAACATTCCCCCTGAAATTGTGTTTATGCGATTAATTTGCACTCCCTGTATGGGAAGGAAACTCATTGCAGTCCCTTTGCCTTTTAACACAATTTCTAAATGAGCAGAGCACTAATTAATGAGGTTTTCTGGAAGCTTCATTTTTATCAGAGTCGCAGAGCTGCAATATAGATTTTCCCTTCAGAAGTAATTCTTCCTCCCTCTCTGAGAATATATTAGCATTCCAGGGGAAACACTGGTTTCCTTAACATTTGTCAGGATTTGCATAAGTAAAGACTTCAATTGCAAATGAAAACAAGATGGTGTGTTTAAATGACATTTATAAAGCTTCATAAAAGTTATGACTTCAGCTCTTTCTTATAAAATCGAAATACTTTTCCTTTGGCATTGGTTCTGTGCAGGTATTTCCTGAAAGGTTTCATTTTAAATGATGTAATGAGGCAGCAGAATCATTTCTTATCCAAAATGCAATATTTCTAGCATATGAACTTTTGTAAAGAAAGTGAAATAACGCCTTTTGTATTTGATTTTCAGAGTCTGCAGCTTGTTGATTTTTTTTAAGGGATTTTATTTGAAGTATAATACATGAAGCATGAAAATGAACTTTAACATGTTTTAAAGGTCTCGTTTAGTGAAGGCTAACTCTGCATCAGATACTGTATATTCATTATCGCTGGTCATCCCACCACTCAGAAGGTGGGAGTTATGGCCCCCATCTTACAGATGAGGACAGTGAGGCTCAGGTGCACAAAGTGTCTGGCCTCATGTAATTCGAAGGACTTGAGTAGGAAGCTAGGTCTTATCCGAGGTGGGAGCTCATTGTCCCCTGCCCCATAATCAGATGCAGGGTGGGGACCCGGCACCTCACTCTGGGAGAAGGCTGTCAAAGCTGAGATCAGTGAGAGCCAGTTGTTTTTTTGAGGGGCAAGATCATGCATTGGGAAGAACACTGGGCTTGGGCTGGTGTACCTGGGTCCAAGCCTCCAAGCCACCAGACGGCAAGCTCTGTGACGACAGACAGCATGTTGACCTCACTCACCCTGCTTGGTCCACAGTCCCCAGCTGAGAGCCTCTGACAGCTGAGACCCTAAGTGATATTTGTGAAGGATTGGAGAAATGTATTTTTAGGCAAGTCATGTTCACTTTGGCCTAAGTTTCTCCTCCCGCTCTGCCTCTCATCCTCAATCTACCTGCTAACCAGCATTCCCATTTCTGAAAAAAAGCCTCCTAACTTTCTCATCCTCTGACTTCCGATCTTAGCTAACTTCCAGGAAGTCTTCCTATGACATATCCAACTTTCCACCTGTGCACTGGTTTCCTATGGCTGCTGTAACAAATTAGTGGCTTACGCAAAACAAATATACTTACCACCTGACCATTCTAGAGATCAGAAATCCAAAATGGGTCTCACTGGGTAAAATCAAGGTACTATCAGGGCTGTGTTCCTTCTGGAGGCTTTAGGGAAAAACTCATTTCCTTGCCTTTTCCAGCATCTAGCAATTGCCCACATTCCTGGGCTCACGGCCCTTTCCTCCATTTTCAAAGCCGGCAACCTTAGGCTGAGTCCTTCTCACACTGCCGCCCTCTTCTGCCTCCTTCTTCCGTTTTCAAGGATTCTTGTGATTACATTGGACCCACCCAGGGGTGGCAAACTGCAGCTCTCAAGCCACATGCAGCTATTTGGGTACATGTGGTTCTGAAATAAAATTGAAAATGAAAATAAAACTATCATAGTTTCATTTATAAAATGTTTAAAGGATATTATTCACATAATGGTGATTTCATTTGTTTTATGGCTCTCAAATACTTTTTAAATTGTTGTGAGGGACAGGATTCGCTCTTCTGTCTCAAAAGTTTGCCGACCCCTGGACCCACCTAATGATTCAGGATAATTTCCCTAAGGCTACCTGACTAACACCCTAATTCCCCTTTGCCATGTAACATAACATATTTGCATCTTCCCGGGATTGGGATGTGGACATCTTTACGGGGCCATTATTCTGCCTACCCAATCTATAAATCCAGTGTCCCAGGTTACATCGGATTTGGAGGTAAAAAGTCAAGCCCAACAGTAGTCATAAACTAGCACTGTTCTGGGTCTTTCCCTGTAGCTCTTCAGGAAATGCACCACCCCTGGCCCCACCCATCCCCTCAAATTCCCTCTCAGTGTGTACTGGGAATCCCCACCCCCACCCCCACCTCGTGTGCTCAGGAAGCAGGCTTGCTGCTACCTGGAGTCTCTGCAGTGCTGCTTCCCTTCCAGCTCAGGCTGCACTTAGGATGAACTCCAGCCGCAGAGTAGGGTTTCCTGGCCTTCCTGGGCACCTCACCTTGCTGTCATGAAGTCCCCCTTCTGGTTTATCCTCTGTCCCTACTGTAGACCTTTGTCTAGACTGAGACACACATCTTAGAGGCTGGGGTTGGAGGACAATTGGAGTGACTAACACTCAGAATAACTGCCCCAAACTTACTGTACACCAAAGAGTCCTTGGTCCTTCATGTGAATAGAACCCCACTGGGGTTGCCCTGCAGATGGGCTTGAAGCCTGGAGTGAGGATAATTGAGGCTAAAGCTAGACCTCATACACAGAAGGTTGGATTAATCAGACTCCTCAGCTCATGGGCCCTTTTCTTGTTTATGTATTTATTCCCTTTTATGAACATTCCTCCCTAGACATCCATTGTAATAGGTTTTATGTGTATCTTATTACTTTTATGTGTCTTATATGATGTGCACTGTTTTAAATGTGTTCTTAACTTACACAAATAGAATGGTATTTATCTTAACTTTGTTTCTTACCTTTTTTCCTTAAACCCTGTGTTTTTATGATCCCTTCGTGTTGCCGTGCACATCTAGTCCCTTACTCTTAATGCTACTTCATCCTCCACAATGTGTGTTTGTTCACCACATTTTTCCTTTCTACTCAGCCAGGATGGGCACCCAGGTGACCTCCAATAATGCTAGAGTGAATAGCCTCTTTCGTGACACCTTGTAGGTGGGGTGGGGGTGGGCGTTTGCTAGAATTACCATATCAAAATTCCACAGACTGGGTGGCTGAACCAAAACAGAAATTTATTTTCTCACAGTCCTGGAGGCTAGAAGTCCAAGATCAAGGTATTGGTGGGTCTGGTTTCTTCTGAGACCTGCCTCCTTGGCATGCAGACATCTGCCTTCTCCCTGTGTCCTTACATGGCCTTTTCTCTGTGTGCATGTGCCTCTCATGTGTGTCTGTGTGTCCAAATTTTCTCTTCTTAGTGGGACACCAGCCAGAGCAGATTAGGGCGCCTATAATAAGCTCGTCTTATTTTCATCACCTTTTTAACAGCCCTACCTCCAAAAACTGTCATATTCTGGGGGTAGTGGGAGTAGGACTTCAACATGTGAAATTTGGGAGGACACAATTCAGCCCTTACCAGATATATACCATGAGTAAAACTGCTGGGCCTTGGATTATGTGCCTACTTGATTTGACTGTGTGCATGCACATTCCCATAAGGGATGCATGAGGGGTCTTATTTCTAAGCCCCGCCTACATTTGGCATGATCCAACTTTCTGCTATTTTGCTAGCCCAATAGGTATAAAGCACTATCTCCTTAGTGTTTTAAATTTCTTTTCATAAGCTTGTTAGTTTTCAGGATTTCCTCTTCTGTAAATAGACTGCTAATATACTTTGCCCATTTTTCTATTGCATTTTTCTTTTTCTAGGTGATTTTCATATAACAGACTATTATATAGTCTAGATAATGGTTTTAGACATTGCTAATATATTCTCCATTCTGACATTTGTCTAAAGTTAACTTTGTTCACAATATACTTCATGAAATAGCAAAAATCTTCCATTTTGATGGGATCAAAGTCATCAATTATTTTTTCTTTATGGTTTGACCTTTTGAAATTTTGTTCAAAAAGTCCTTCCATAGACTTAGATCACAAAGATAATATTCCACACATTCTTTTATTAACTTTACAGTTTTACCTTTCAAACTTAGGACTTTAATCTCTCAGAATCTACCTTTGTAATTAGTGCTAGGTAGGGATGTACTTTTTGGGCCATCTAATAAGCCAGTTTTTCTAATATCATCTACCAAGCAACGTGTTCTCCATTAGTATACAATAAAGGTGCCACTTTGATCTTATATTAAATTGCCATATATTGAGGGGTGTGTCTCTGAGCTCTCTATTGTATCCCATTGGTTTATTTATCTGTTCTTATGTGACTACCACACTAGTTTTATTGTTCTTTAACCTCAGTTTAGTGCTATCTTGATGATCTGCTAAGGTAAGTCTATCCATTACCTTTCTTTCTTTTTTAAGGTTTATTTAGCTAATCATGTATTCCTTCATATAAATTTTGTAGTAAGTAAACTACAAAAAATTTGTAGAATTCCTAAAAAAAAAATCAAATCTGAATAGAACTTGATTAGAAAGGCATTGAGTCTTTCAATCAATCTGAAGACAATTGATATTTTTGTAATGTCTGAATATTTATTCAAATCATCTTCAGTGTGCTTTACTAAGGCTTTTAAGTCCTGCCCATAGAGGTGCTATATGTTCCTGGTTAAACCAGATAATTTACAGATATTGTTGATATTATGAATGTTATTTTATATCTGATAATATTTTCTAATGTACTGTTAGTTTATAATAAAACATATTGATGTTTATAAGTTAATCTTGATTCCAGCAATCTCAATACACTCTCTTATAATTCTGAGACTCTATCTGTTGATTGATTCTGCTTGTTTTTCTAGGCATATGACCCTATCATTTATAAATAATGATAGTTTTATCTCTTTCTGTACAATCCTTGAACCTCTATTTCTTTTACTTTCCTTATAGCTTTGGCCAGGACCACTGGTCCTACAGAAAATGGAAGCCATGACAGTTAATCTCATTGTCTTATTCCTAATCTTAATATTTTTCCATTGAGCTATAATGATTTTGATTTAGTTTTTGTGGTATATAATCCTTAGAAAGTTAAGGAAATTTCCTTTTACTTCTAAATTTCTGAGAGCTTATGCAACCTCATGAATTTTTTTGTATTATTTGAGATAATTATATGATTTTTCTCCTTTAGACATTATGAAGTGAATTACATTGACTTTGTGATGTTAAACTCTACTTGCTTTCATGGGATAAATGCTATGTAATCATGATGTATTATTTTTTAATATACTTGGTTTTAGTTAGCTCATATTTAATTTTGTTGCATTGTGTCTATGATTTTAAGTGAACTGGACCTATAATGTTTTGCTTATACTGTTTTTATCTAGCTTGATAAAATAAGCTAGGAAGCTTTAGTTCTCATATTTTCTAGAACAAATCTTTCTTAAAAGTTTGGTAAAATTCATTTGGAAAGCCATCATTTTGGGTGGGGAAGGGGATGTCAACTATCATTTCAACTTCTTTACTGTCTCATATTCTGTTCCCTGTTCCTTCTGTCTTATTTCATCTGATCTCTTTGTTCATGGGCACACCTCAACCCCCACTGCCCGATTCATATGTCACACAGTCTTTATCTCTGGAGACCCTGATTCACTTCAAGACAGAACTCAAAGCCCCTATTTTTTATGAGTCAATTCCAAGCCTCTCACAGCACTGTTATCCATTCCTCATTGTCCATTGATAGCTTTGTGTGTACATCTTACATTATTTATACTACCTTTATGAGGGTTATCTCTGTGTGTTATCTATATTTTTATCTGGCAATTGGTAATCTAATGTCATGTACATGATATGATCATTACTTTGCATGAAGCCCTGTTTTCTCTAAAGCTGAAAATAAATTTTGTAAAACTAGAGAACATGATCATAATAAGTATCTTTTGGTTTTTGCCCTCTTCCTTTGAATACAAACATAAAATACAAAGTTAGAAGCTTTGTATATAGAAACATTGTACTTTGCACAACCGTTGCTCTTCACCATCCAAATCACACCCCCACCCCATCTGTCCCACAAGTCCTGATTCACCTAGACAGGGCCCATTGATCCAGTGGGCTGTCTATCATCCCAGGATCTCAACCTCACTCCCTACATGCCTCTTCAGTAAATGTGTATCGTGAAGGAGTGGAAATACTGCTAGAGCAGAGATAGTGAGAAACCCACCTTCAAGGTAAGCATGGAGATCCATGTCTAAGTTGAATTGGTGAAACTTTTAGGAGGGTCCTGATGCCTTTTCTAGGTATTCACTGTGATCAAAGATAGTCTGAAGCATCAAAGAGAAAACAACTGGCAGATTTACAAATTATGGCTCTATTCACCTTTCATCCACTTTTCTAAGAATCTTCTCTTTACCATAACCAATGTTGGAATTACAGAGATGAAGGGCTATCATTCCCCTATACCCCAAACAAGGTGCTCACAGTCTGGTAAGAGACTTGCTGAAATTTACAATTGATAAGAGCTGTGACAGAAGTAATTCCCAGGGGCTGGGGGAGGACCCAGAGGGCTACTCTATGGTGAAGCCCATGTGGGATCACTACCCTAACACTGTCATCAGCTCTCAGTCACATGAGATGCCTTAAAGGAAGTGGAACGTGGTCTGTGGAATCCCAATCCCACTATATGTTAGCTGTGGGACTGCAGAAAATCTACCCAGACCTTCTGAGCCTCAGTTCTTTCATCTATAAAATGGGTCGGTGGCACCTGCCTCCTGTGGTTGTCATGAGTTGTTAATGAGATGATGTGTATAGTATCTGGCATGCAGCAGGGGCCCAGTTCCTGGGAGCTGCCGTTTCCCTTATAGCTGGTGCCATGGCTCTCTGCTTCTGATTGCAGGTGGTAACACCAGATGGGCATGGGAAGAACCGAGCTAAGTGGGGCCTGCTGAAGAATATCCAGTCTGCCCTCCAGAAGCGCTTCTGAGCCCTCCGTCCCCCGTCCCCCCAGCAGAGCAGGCAGCAACCTCAGAGACGCACCACAAAATAGACATAGCTACACACACACATATGTATATGTATTTTTCTCACCACATTCTTCAGTGAGGTTGCAGAAGATGTTCCTGGGACTTCCGAACTGTTTCATCAGGAGTCTTTTAAGAGCTAATAAAAGGAAATGCCTAATGTCATGGCTTGCTGTTTGCTCATTATTATGAAACTAAGATACTAAACAGTCAGCAAGTCTCTATGTCTTCATTAGCTCAGGCTTAGCCCTAGGCTCAGCATTCTGTGGTGTTTTGTACACGACACCACCAGGCTGCTGGGTGGTAAAAAGGGCACTCACGCTTTGCTGTCGGTCCCCTGGGTGTGCATTCTGACCTTGGTCTAGCCAGCTTTCAGTATTTGGACAAGTCACTGATTGACAGGGAGCTCATTATCTGATCATGCAGTCTATGTCAATATTAAGCAGCCCACATTGTTAGAACGTTCTTCCTAATTATCGGGCCTGAACGTGCCTTCCCATAATTTGAACCCTATGGTCTGAGGTGTGCCTCTGAGTCATAAAGCCTGAGAGCATGCCCTCTTCTCCTCACTCTGGTGCTCAGAGCAGAGGAGGAGCAGTAAGAGTGCCTGGTCAGAGGCTCTCCTGTGTTCTTGGAAGCAAGGCAAAAAAAAAATTGGTGGAGTCATGTTTCAGCTACAGTCACACTGAGCTCGGCCTGACCCTTCAGACAATAATGAAGACCGCAGGCTGTCTTGCCTGATAAAGACCCATCCGCCTGGAATGACCTTCTCCTGAACCCACCCCATTTCTGCCTAGAAAATACCACCAGTCTTTCAAGGCCCAACCACTTCTTCCAGGAAGCCTTTGCTAATTCTCCAGGTGGGGATGGCTTGTCCCTCCTCCCCTGGGTTCTCACTAAACACAACCCCTCCTCCCCCACCCCATATGCCATAGAGACCTCTATTCCAGCCCGTGATATACCAGACCTCTCTTGTCCAAGTCTCTAGGGCTGACATGGTGTCTCATTCATTTTGGCCCAGTGCCTGGCCCAGTGAGGCTTACGTTGCAAGTTAGTACCAGGAAGAAAGGAGCTGCTGCTGGAAGGCAGGCACACAGAATCACCCTCCCCTGACTGACCCCCCCACTCCATGTGTCAGTTTACGCAGTGAGGGTCTACACACAGACGTGGGAGTGGATGTGGAAAGGCATAAGCAGTCACTGATTTCCACCTCCTCTAATCTCATCCTGTTCATGAGCCATCCCACTGGCAGATGTGGGCAGCCCACCTAGCTTCGCCCATAGCACCGCTGCTTTGCAACCTTTCATTTTGCCCCGAGGCTCCGTGTCAGAGCCAGAAAAGGCCCTTTCCTCACGGGAGGTCCCTAGGGAGGATCCTCTAATAATATGGGATGAAGCCACGCAGATCCCTGCCCTGCCCCCAACAGTATTCCAAGAAGAACTATCCTGGGAGCTTCGTTATCATCCTATTACTGTAAATGATGGCTTGACTCCACCATCGGCTTTGGTATTACCATATAATCATTTCCGTAAAAAGCTTCAGAATCATCATTAGCACAGAGAGCAAATTACATGACTTGCCAGCAGGGATTTTACTACTGATAAACTCAAATGAAATTAAACTAAAAAAATAAAATGATATGAATATTGCATTACAATGATCATACCTACTCACAGAGCAAACAGGAAGGGTCAGAATCAGATAAGCCACAGTACCCTGATCTGGCCTCACTGGCGCTCAGTGACCAAGACAGTTAGCTAGAGTCCCTGAGAGGCCACTTAACCAGTAGCTGAGCCATTCTACCAAATGCAAGATGGAATTTCTTTTTTTAAATTGAGCTATAATTGACATTTAACATCATATTAGTTTTACATGTCCAACATAATGATTTGATATATGTATATACTGTGAAAGGATCACCACAATAAGTTCAGTTAACATCCATCATCACACATGGTTACAATTCTTTTTCTTGCGATGAGAACTTTTAAGATCTCTCTTAGCAACTTTCACATACACAATATGTTATTATTAACTATCATCCCCACGCTGTATATTACACCTCAGGACTTATTTATCTTGTAACTGAAAATTTATACCTTTTGACATATATGATATACGAGTATATGTCGAATATAACCACGAAATTCATAAATATGTACCACTATATTGAACCAGAATCTCTCTGTAATCTATGTATTTCAACATCCCTATCAGCCTGTCTGTAGAGAAGTGGCTACAGAAACAAATATTGGGTTGTCAGAAAAGTCATGATGCACTTCTGCAATGAAAAACATAGAAAAAATGCATCATGACTTTTCCGACAACCCAATAATTAGTGCCAGTGTGTACATGAACTTCGCTTATAGCTTATTAGTACAGTTGCTAGCTAAGTAAATGGTAGTTTTCTTGCACCTCTTTTTTTCTTTTTTCCTTCTTTCTTGCCTTCCTTCCTTTTTTCTTTTTTCCTTCCTTCTTTCCTTCCTTCCTTCCTACCCTCCTTCCTTTTTTTCTTTCTTTTAATCTTCTCTAGATTCATTTAACACCTCTGTCATGAGACCTGGGTGCAAGGTGTAGGGACACAGCTATGAATGAAACAGACATGGTCCTGCCCATGTATCTTATAGTCTAATGGGAGAGACAGATAAAAATATAAACATGTAGATGACCGAAAATGATAAGAAATGCTAGAAGGAAAGGGGTGTAGAGCTGGGAGATATCAACTCTAAAGAGAGCTGGGAGATATCAACTCTAAAGGATGGAATACTGTGTCCCCCAAAATTCATATGTTGAAATCGTAATCCCAATGTGATGGTATTCTGAGGTGGGGCCTTTGGGAGGTAATTAGGTCATGAATGGATTTGTGCTCTTATAAGAAGAGGTCAGAAAGAAAGCTAGCTCGCTCCACCGTGTGAGGATACAAGGAGAAGTCAGCAGTCTGGCATTCTCTAATAGCAGAGCCTTGCAGAGCCAGCTGGCGAAGGAATAATGACATCTGCAGAGCCACAACCCCGCATCACAGACCACGTCCAGAAAGGTGGGTTTAGAGCTGAGACATGACAGCTTAATAATCAGCACAGTTATATAAGACTAGAACTCAGTAGATATGCCTGGGCTGGGGACACAAACTCAGGACTCACCAGTGAGCATGACTCAGTGATCGTCTAGAACACAAATGGCATCAGGTGCCCCAGCTAGGCTCTGTGGGGTAAACCAGAGAGATATGAAACTAGTTCCTCTCTCTAGTGGCTTCTTAACCACAAGACAACCACAAGGGCAACTGAAAAGCAATTAAATATCCAGCCCCAGGTGAGCATTGGAATCGCCTATGGAACTTTAAAAAAATTACATACCCAGATCCCACCAATCAGATTATGCAGCATGGGGTGGGAGGTTGGCTAGACATTTGTATTTTCTAGAAGCCTCTGAGAGATTCTGAGAAACAACCCTTTCCCAGACCAACAAGCATTGGGGCCCCATGAGATGTTGGCTGAGTTGTTAGAAGATGGTTCCTGGCCGTAGGAGGATGAGAGTTAGCTTTTGAAGAACGGGCAAAAATCAGGTTAAGGTGCAGGTGAGAGGAAAATATGCCCTGAGGATGGCTTGCAAAAGAGCAGGAAGGCAGGAGGAATAAATGGGAAACAGGGTACAATAGATATTCAGAAAATGCTCATTGATTTAAGTTGGCACCCACAGCTCTCAAAACAGGAAGAGGGAGACATGGTGAATGAGAAACAGAGTATGTGGGTAAAGGTTGATGACATCTAAAGTGTTATTTCAACAGTTGCCCTGCTCCAAAATAAATAAGGGGTAACGAACCCGAAGATGGTGGGAGTCTCCTACACAAAAGCCTCCTTATTTCTGCCCACTGTCATGTCTTCCTGGCTAAAGCCATCACCAGCGCCCAGCCCTTACCCTCAGCTATGCCTCACCACACACACACAAACACACACACACACACACATACACACACACACACACACAACACAACACATTCACCGTCTCTGAATCACATTATCTATTCTGAGGTCAGTGAAAAGTTCAAGAATCAATAGGATCAGTAGAGATTTGCCTTGTGGCTTGAAGGACTACCAGATCAAAGAGGATGGTTCTGAGAGAATACTTAAACACCTGCGACAGGAGATAAGATGGGAGGAAGGGAAGGGTTGACATGATGGAAGAGGGTGAACAGAGGCATTGCCCTATCACCTCAGTGTCCAAATGATCTGTGAGACCATTTTCATTTGAAACCAAAGGGTTTCTTTACCAGCAAACAACCAGAAGAACCAAGTGGTATGGAAATTCTCAGAAAAGCTAATACATTCTAAGGCAAATAATTGACTAAATCTAAGCAAAAAATGCAATTTGGGGAGAACCCAAGGGACACGTGTTACTGCAAAGCTGAACTGGGCCCAGAAGCTTGAATTTTTTATAACAAGTTGTAGAAGTTAGCAAAATAGGGTCCCAAACAGCTCTTCAGATGCTGTGAATCTATGCATGACTTCATTTCCATTCCTTTAATTCCACTAGGAGCTACAATTTCTAAATTTTCCTTCAGGAAAAAAAAATAATTTAGCTCAGAAATAATGCTTTCTATATAAAACTGTAGCTGTTTCAGGGTTTATGTCTTTGATATTTTTTTTTCCTTCCAAGAAAATCAGAATAAAGGGAGTCTTTCATCTTAATAAAACCAGACATGGAAAGTTTCTCTCTGAGCACCAAAGCAGACAACACACTCACTCAATGAAAGTTGACCAAGTGTTACACCAGCCTGGTCCCAGGTACATGGAGAGAACAGAGCAGGCTCTGCCTGCCGTGGGCCTCCCCACATGGAACGATGGGAGAAAATCCAGCCCAACCCCTATGGAGGCTTTGTGTCCAGGCCAGGTTTCGTGGAATGAGTGGAACATCCCTGGGGTCATTAAAATGGAAGGGAATTAAAGGAGCAGAGAAGTGAGAAGTAGGCATCCTAGGTGAGGAACAGCATGAATAAAGGTGTAGAGGCTGGACTAGTACGTCCGATGCATGGGTGCAAAACAGTAAGAAATGTGTGTGTGTGTGTGTGTGTGTGTGTGTGTCTGCCCCCAGTTCCTGACATAGCTCTCCTAAAACCCTTGTACATTCCTAAGTGATAAGAGCACAAGGAGCATATTTTGTT